TGATTACACATTTTTTATTATTGTCATTAGTGATTATCTCAATTTCGGCTAAAAGAATTGACAAAATCCTACAAACTGTGCCTTTAATTAGTTACACAGTAATTACATTTGAGAAACAAAAAGGAGCCTGCTTGGCTAGAGAACCCTAGTCTGGATATAGACCTTCTCCATGCTCARTGACTGCTGTCAGGCCTGCTAAGGTTCTACTTGTTTCCTGGAGCATCACTAGGGCACAATGTGGAGCATGAAGGTAATTAAAATGTTTTACACACATCACATCATATGAGGGTGAAGGAAGGAGAAAAAAACTGTACCAAAGTAAACAAGTGTGGAACATTTGTTGGAAAGAAACACTTAAAAGCCCTAATATGACACTGACAGATCTCATTTTACAATCTGTAAACTGATTTCCTGTAGGATTGTGTCTGACTCACCATCGTCCTTAGTGGTGAATTTCACCGTGTTGCTAGGTGGACTCTCAAACCGACTGTTGGCCACAACCATGAACATCTTATAATTAGAGTAGGGCACCAAGTCAGACAGAATACCATATGGTGCTGCCACAGTGGTGTAAAAACCTTTGACCTTCTTCTCCTTATTGACSGCCAGGCCTGGAACTAGACTGGACTCACGCCAGTAATACAGCTGGAAATTGGAAGAGAGAGGGTCAGCGGGTTATTCATGCTGATAAAAGTGAAATGGTTAAAGAGGAGAGCAAAATGTCTCATTTTTCAGATGACTAAGGTGGTTCTTGGTATGAAAGTGCTGTCAGTCTCACTCTGTACTCCTTGAACTCTCCATGAACAAAACTCAGATCCACAGGAGTCCAGTGGATGTTTGCTCTGTTGCTGCTGACCTTTGACACTCGCAGTTCAGTGGGTGCCCTCGTGGGCTCTGAGCACAGAAAGGAAACATGGTGCTGTTTGTGTTTGRTTTTGATTCAGGTCTAGTTGATCTGGTTTATTATGGTGTGCACACTCACTGTCTTCTCCAGAGTACCCAAYGACAACATTAGACTCAGGTCCTGATCCAAAGTCRTTCCTGGCTTGGATTTTGATCTCATAAGGCACATACGTGTCAGTGGGGTGGACAACATGTTTGGAGTGGAACGTGGTCACGTTGTTCCAATCCTCCCCATCATCTTTTCGTCTCCACCACACACTGTAGAGCAGGTTTGGGCCGTTTCTCTCCAAATCACGCAGTGGCTGGAAACAGAAAGACAAAACGTGTCAGCACACTGATGCACACACTGACACACACACACAACTGTACACACACACTGCCTTAAGTGAGGCTGATAATCAGTCTCTGTACAGATCAAATGCTCTAGTGGTTCCCAACAAGTCCATCTGAATAATTAAAACTGTGTATAACTCAGTTGTTTTTTTTTTCTAATTTAAGTTTGTAAATATTCCCTTTATTGTTTTATTATTTTGATATAGAGATAAAGGTTGAACATGTTTTTGGAAGAGGTGGAGAGTAGTGAGGGTTTGGGGGGATAGTGTTGTAGTGCTTGAAACCGGTCTTGGTCTTAAGACGATAAATACTATTTTCCCCCCACTGTACATGTGTACAGAACACTCCATCTTTTAGGAAACAATTTTTTTTCTGGTCTTGTTTTTGTCTCAGTCTCACCATACCTTGTTTGTTTTCATGTACAGTGCCCTGAGACAACCTATGTTGTGACTTGGCGCTATATAARTAAATTGAACTGAAATGAAATTGAAAGTGTGTCGAACGCTCAAATTGTTCAAATCGCGCCGCTCTCATCGCTCTTGATGTGCCGCAGCACTTCCCAACGCGCTGCTTGACGAGCGTCCACCATAGACTTTGCACTTACACCTGACGCTCTTGATGCTGAAATCGCGTTTGTTGTGAACGCAGCATTAGAAAATAACTTCACATGTGCTTTTTTCTAAGTTGATAGATAAGCAGATACGTGTTCTCGCTCTTCTCAGCTGTTTGACACTCAGTCAATCTTTTCTCACCTCCCAGGTGATCTCCATGTTGTCCTTCTGGGAGCCCCATCCTCGTAAATCCCTGGGGATGGCATCTGGAGCTTCATTTTGAAAGAAAAGAGAAGAGTCAGATCAAACATTTCCTCCTTCAATAAACAGTTGATCTGTGGTGAAATAATTTGGTAATAATATTTTGGGACTGATTTATTTCAGAACAAGAAAAGTCAAAAATAAAACAATCTCAGGCGTGTTTAAAAGCCTTTATGTTAAATATTATTTAAATAAATACACACTTCTCATGAACAGCTAATGAAACATTAATATTTAGTTAAACGATGACAGAACTCATTGAAATGTTTTCAGARGAGGGGGGCGTGGCTTACGTGCTCCGCTGGTTTTGTAGCGTGGGGAGGGCCTGCTCGGCAGACTCTGACCCACTGAGTTTATGGCGATGACTCTGAACTGGTAGTTGACGAAAGGGGCGAGCTGCAGGATGACAGAGTTCAGGTCTCCGGGGTAGGTGGACAGGTCCTGCCACCTGCCTGGTTCCCAGTGATTCTCTTCGAACTGGACCAAGAACTCTGCAGAGAACCAGGACATGTCATGGCTCACAGTGGAAACACACAGTTCCTTTAATGCTGCAGCACTGACCACTGTGCTGCTGCAGCTCCACGAGCCTAGAGACAGTCACCTGTGACRGGACTCCTGTTGTCGTTTCCAGGGATCCAGGTGAGACGAACGCTACGGGCTGCTGGATCTGACAGATCCAGATCCATCGGTGGTTCTGGACGTCCTGAGAGTGTCAAAAACACACAAACTRTGAGCATGCCACTAAACTCTCAGTCATCAGGTTTCTTCTTTACGCCTAATGCTGCGTTCACACCGAACGCGATTTCAGCTTCAAAATCGCAGCCAAGGCTGAAGTTGGTCGCTTGTGCACTTT